ACAGCTTCTGCTTGACCCACGCCTTCGTACTGGCTTCGAACCAGACAGGCAAATTTTTTTTCTCCTTAAAACATCGAGGGTTTTTCGATTTCCCGATTACCAGCGAGCTTTTCCGTGCCAGAAGCGTTGCAGCCGACAACGACAGTGACTCGTTCCTTGCTGAGTTTACCTCTGTGGCAAGGTTCTCCAAAACAGGCGAGTGTCTTCTCCGGCAGTAGCTTATAGAAAAGCCCGGTTTCATTGAGGTTGAAGCTGTCGTCAGCCGAGTAGCGCTGAAGCAGCTCCACCAACTTCCCACCGCGGTAGTTCGCTACCAGTGTGCTATACACGGCACCGCTCTCACCGCACATTTTTTCGAAAGCGAGGTCGTACCACTTTTTAAAGTTTCAGAGCCAGCCATCGGTGAACTTAAATTCATCAATGCCAAGGCGAAGTGCCAATGTCTCGGCCTTTTGCTTCAAGAGGTGGCCGAAAACGGGAACCCGTTGAGCGACGGTAGCGTTAAGCCAAATGCTCAACGCTTCTTCCAACTGCGGATGAACACCTTGGCACACCCTCTTTTGTTCACTTCCGGATGATGCCTCCGTCGTGCCTAAAATCTTGTCCTTATTCTTCATGTAGTCCGATGTGGTTTGCTTCGAAATGTTGAACTCTCGAGCAACTTGCGGACGACCACTGAGCACTTGCTGAATGATGGCTGCTTTCTTTGCCATGGTTAGCGTTGTATATCTGCCGCGTTTCGTCGACGCGGCCTTCGGCGCTAGGCTGTGAGGGCACCGTTGGTGCCATTTAACTTCAGATCTTGTGAGACAGCTGGACGTAAAATAAAGCAAGTCTCAAAACAAATATGAACGCGCGCAGAATTCAGCAAAACGCTGTACCGCACACACATGTGACAGAATGGCAGCGATAGCCGCACAGCGAGGGCGGCGAGGGTATAAAGGAACTGGAATGTGGGATGATCACGATGTCGATACAATCACGATGTCGATATGATCCCCAACAGTTGAGTCATGCCTCCAAGATCGGCATTTTCAAGTACAAATCTCTGAGGCACAAAGTTGCAATCGAAATGAAGCCTCATAGATTACCAATTAGCTTTCGCTTTGATCTCTGAGGCCATACTTTGTATGGCATGTGTGCCGGAGGAGATAATGGCTGCCGATTCGGCTTGCGCGACAGTCGGGCAGGGTCCGAATTATCGAATGTAGACCTGGCAGCTGCCCGAAATATCGGTCATCTATACACATTACTTCTATTGGACCATCGGCGGTGCCGCGCGACTATCCAAATCATCAGTGTCCGATTTATCGGTCGGCGACTATATGTGATTAAAATGTCTCCCATTCCTTACTTTGTGTTTTTATGTGAAATAAGCTCGAAACAGACTCTGTGAAATAAGCTCGAAACAGTCAACACATAATTTTCAAACGATTGAAAATTATGTGTTGACAATGCCTTTAGAGCATTATTACACTTTGGCATTTAATGTGGTTGCTAAAGTTCCAGTCTTTAGTGATAAGGAAGTATGCTAAGCTTCAATCAAAAATGTTCATTAGCAAGAAAATTATGACTTTTCCCAAACACCAAAACACCAGAAATGAAAGTTCTGAAAAAATCAACAAAGAACATTTGAAACAGGTGCAGCGCTTACACGAGGTGATCAGGAGCGCTGAAATTCTCCATATTTTTAGCTAGTTTCACTGTGGACTCCTGCGTGCCTTTGCTGAAGCGGCAACTTGATTTTTTTTTTTAGCTTCATTTGCAGCCTCAGTACAGTACATGATCCTCTCGTGATGCAGTGCTGATCATTTATGAGACAGGCTTTTCCAGTGTAGAGGCCACAATTTTGCGAACTTGCTTCAAAATATCCAATGTGCTTCTGTTGCCATCATTTGACAGCATCACACACAGCATCACAAAATTCAAATGTGGCAGTTTACAGACATAGTTGTCCTTGATCATGAACATCTGATGTACCATGCTGCCTGTTCAGCTGGTGAGAAGTTGATCAGTATAACGATTGAAAATTATGTGTTGACAATGCCTTTAGAGCATTATTACACTTTGGCATTTGATGTGGTTGCTAAATAACCAGAAAAATACTACACATCAAGCTATATGCATATGATGAACACAAAACTGGCATTTCAGTTTCGGTTTCAAAGATGATAGGTGGTGTAACATATTTGCTTGCATCTTTTGAAAGGAGCTGCATAGGCAGAAAATGCATACGGCAAAATTATGGGCAAAAACTTGCACATTTAACATGATCAGAAGCTGACAATGACACTTTGCAAAAAAAAATTTTCTTTTTCCATTTAGCCTCATACCGTAGAAGGTCACTAAAGAGCAAAACAATTTTTCGCATATTAGTAAAGTACAATTCCACAATACCAAAAACACTACTTTTACAAGGACACAATGCTTAGTAAGCGAAAAGTCATATGAAAAGAAAATGCGGGTAGCAATGCGACCTTGTGATTCCCGCAAACACTGTGACATCAGAAATTTGAAGGCACTTACTGGGTCTTACGTAGCTTCCAATCGATGAAAAAGAAGTTAATTGTACCCTGTGGGTGCGCGGACTTGGCATACGATGTTTCAGAAAATCTCCCCATTTGAGCCAATGCCATGAAAATACCAAAAATACATCTGAAATTTCTTACGTCACACAGGGATATTTTGGCACGAAATTTAGTAGTGAAACTTCCACTTCAATTTTCTAAGCTAATAATGAACTTATGATGGTGAAATAGATGACATCAGAGTGCTCAGAAGGCAGTTGGTCAATCCAAACTAGGCCATTATTCCTCTTTAGTGTGCTATTAAGAAAATGAAGCATGTTGGTCAGCTCTAAAGCCCCTGAATCACGTTACCGCTCTTGCCTAAGCAGCAAGTGAACAAACTACTTTGCAAAAGCACAGAAGGATGGAGAGAAGGCACAAGACAGTCCTTGCGAGAACAGAGTCTTTTGTGTTACAGACCCGTTAGCAAAAGTGCCTTGGCAGAAGTGTCACACGTTAGTTGGAAATTTCTTACACACATTTGAAAAGTCTGCTTACTACCAGTGAAGCCGGTAGTCATCAAGTTTCAATGCTGCTTAAAAAGCGCTATGCATTATCTTGCAAGAATTTATCATTGGCGTTTGCTGGCTACATTGATGGAGTATGATATAAATAAATCTCTCAGAACTAGACCATCTGTAGACTGTGTATAACTGAAATTTTTTTAGAAGGACTGAGAATGAACTACGAATAATGATGTGACGATATCACACTTCAGGTCAGCATTCTCTCCATAAATGTGGGCTCATAATTTAATGTAAATGGGAATGCTCAAATTTCATTTGAGAGGCTGCAGCGGCTGAACGTATGGGACACACTCAAAGGTGCTCAGTCAGCCAATGCTTGACCGAAAACAACATATGGCATTTGATAAGACGGATGCTTGGGCTAGTTGGTAATTTGAATCAACATATTTACACAGTGCAACCAAGTCATTGTTCCTCTTCAGTGTCCTTTTAAGAGAGTGAGAAATGTTGATCAGCTCTAAGCCACTGAGTCCCCCCCTACCGCTCTTGCCTGTGCAGCAAGCGAGTGAACTACTTTGAAAAAGCACAGAAGGCGCTGTGCAAATATGTTGAACACCTGAGACATGATAACATGTCAGACAATAACTGACACATCACATAACTGACACAGTAGCGACATGAATTTTTAGAAGCTGCCATTTTCTAGAGCTCAATGAAGGTTTTAAAGCCAAACATTGATCCACTTTTGGCAAGTAATCAGTTTCAGGCAACACTACCGAGTTGTGGTGTGACCACACAGGAGCCGACATCTTCTGCGGCGATCACTGCATCGAACACACGTGTAGAGCCACCACTCAGATTGTTTTATGAGCAAACCCTCAGAGGTATCCTAACAATGTTCCTTTGTCAAAGTGTTCTGAAAACACAGCTGACACTGTGCCCAGCACTTGAAGACTTTAGTGCCGAAATAAAAGTTTTTCAGCATCCATATTTTGCTACGAGTCACCATGTTCACTAATGAGAAGGGAATCAATGTGTAAAAAAATTGAATGTATGTGGAAGCACTCCTCTGTACACAATTCGAGTGCTCCCAATCGTTATAATTGCGAATGCAATAATACCATATAGGTCTTGGCTCTAATCTTTTCCATGAGGTGATCCATGCTGCTCAAGCAAAAGGGCAAGACAACAGTGAATTCTTTGAGACTCTATGAAGAGGAGTGCTTTTAAATTCATGCACTAAAGTAGACAGGTATGAGTGAATTTGACTCTGAGATCACTGTCAGGAGACACGGGGCTCATGCACCCATGGTACATGTTCAGTGACAATGGGAGCATGTATGAAAATGTAAGATCTTTATGCCCTGTGTAATGTACACAATTGGGGTACAGCTCACATTCAAGACGGCTGTTTGTGGGACTAATATCCCTGTCACACGGGCACCCGCGAAGATCGTTTAACTCCCTTGTCCTTACGACAACGAAGATGCGGTCCGTGTCACACGGCCACCCTTACGAAAACGAAGGTAAATGGAGCATTTCGCAAAAGACGTTCCGTCCTTTGCGAAGTGCTCCACGTTGACGGTGTTCAACGGAGTTTGGTGGTGGCCGTGTGACGGGGGTATAACTCACTGAAGGCAAATCATAGTCGAACACCACTATTTAACTGTGCTTCCGCTATTGGGACTGAACCTGCGAGTAACTTGGTCCACTTTATGTAGCAGGGCCATCCAGTTTTTTCAACCAAGTCGACTGTCAAGTAGTTTCCTTTGATGTTTGTACCTATGGGTGCTTTATCCTATTTTTCCCAAAGAACTACTAAGATCCCACACATTCGGTGAGTGTTTCACTGCAGCGGAAGCATCGCCCTTTCGAATCGAGGTGGAATATTAAGTAACAAACTGTAAGTAACAAGCTGTCCGGTAGCACAGATGTAGGCGGCGCAAAGTGCAAAAGGCAAACTCACCAGACACGTCAGTCGCTCCCGTGGGGAAGGGTGGGGGCGGCGAACGGCCGTCTGTGATGGCCAGAGGCTTGCCAGTCGAGTTCTCGTCAGAATGCCCTCTCAACTTATGCCAACCGTCGGCCTGCGCAAGACGACACAGGACAATCAGGTTAGCAATGGCAAACACAAGTAGGACTGACCTACGTCGACCACTGCACACACAAACCTTCCAGTGTTAAGGTTCCTGAAACTTCAAAGTAATACACTCCATGGCAATAAAAAAACGCGAAACATATTTTTTAACAGATTCGCTGTGACAAAGAACATGGCCAGAGCTCGAAACGTATACACAGGAGCTTGTGTTGGGGCTAGTTGGAACATCTTAGTGAAATAAGCACCGCTGCACAGTAGTAAAAACACACACACATGCACGCACACATGTACACACGCACGTGCCACCAGGTATGTGCCAATGCGCAACTGCGATGGTTGCACTCCAATAGCAGCGAGCTGCTGCTGCTCGGCCAGGCAGGGCAGCCTGGGAATTTCAGACCAACTCGGTACATGCATGCAACTAAAACATGCTTTGACGAACTGTGGGAGAGGGTGCCCACATATGCAGCCTAAGTGAATAAGAGACTACTTAATACCCTGCTTTTATAGCAGTCTATATACCCTGCTTTTATAGCAGTCTATTAAACCTTGAATTTGTATTCCTACGATTCAGCACAAGCTATATTCAAGTGTTGCTCAACCCCGGAGGAATAAGATAACGAATGCCATGTACGGTATTCCCGTCACGCACTGTCAAGTGGAATTAATTTTGATAATGACATAAGTACGTGACTGCCGACGTGAGTACTGTTGCATCAGGCCATAAGGTACCTTTCAAACAGCAGTGTTTCCGACGCGCATTGTAGACCCACAATGTGCACACAACTACTACACTTACAAAACACATCTCAATCCACTTTGCTTGTAACGCTTGGCTCAAAGCCAAACAATGCAACATATAAACACTCGCCGACTCTCACAACATCAAACTGAAAACCCACAAGGCGTGTGTTTCGGCGAATTTTTCGCACCTTTGTTCGTGCACAAACAATACGAAAACTCGCATATAAGCGTTTTTACATTTATTTCCCGATTTAACAGATGCTGTGGACAGGTTTTCATAACTTGGAAGTTTTCTGATTGTGAAACAATGCTGCAGGAGTAATAGCTTTAAGCAAGGTGACTGATGCACTCGTAAGGTAGCCAAAATCAGCAACAGCCAGAGGCTTTCCTTCATGTCCTGTCAGCTTTCACAGTACAAAATTACTTGAGTTCACTTATTACTTTCCCTTCATATTTGAGAGACTTTTTAACTTTATTAGAAATATTTTCAGGAATGAGAAAATTGATTAAACTTCTGTTTTTTGTGGGATGATTACCTGAATTTAAAAAATTACTTCATGGCATCTGTCAAATCTGGTAGAGGGCTCAGACCCTACAGGCAGCAGGTTTTTTCTTCTTGTCCACTCTCATTGTTTTTTATTAGACAACTACTAAACTTCAACTTAAGACAATTAGGAATATCCCTTATGTTTTTTCTTGGCTTCGTTACCTATTGGCTTCACATCTCAGCGGTATGGTATACAATAGTACACATCAACTGCAGAGGTGCTTCACACATTTCTTCAAATGACTTGAAGTGCTGCATGCCCATTCGCACAGACTTCCTGAATGGACAACACGCACTCATTCAACTTCGTTGAGCTGCGTCTGCACGAAAATTGGGCTGCATTTACACAGTCACTTGCACGAGAACAATAGGTTTTGGTGTAAAGAACCAACCACCCCCTGTGTCACGAGTTCGCGTCAACTGCCACAATCCTTGTGAGCACTCTTTCCTAGCGGATTTTTTCAATGCAGATAGGCGGCAGAGTTGCACGGTAGCGCGAAGGCTGATGTCTTAGCCTCAGCGGAGCTTTATGGAGGGAGTCGGGCATATTTACGCTGCCACAGAAAGAATTATAGCAGCACCTAGAAAGCCTTCAATGAACTGAGCTGCCAATGCAGTGCTCATAAGGACACAATTTTGTGTGCTTAGGCAGCTACCTATCTACACGAAAACCACACTGGGTCCCACCTGCACTTGGCACTCCCTAAATACAAAACGGCAAATGAGCTCTATAAAACATTCCAAATAATTAATCATCATGCTCGTGCAAATGAGCTTTCCGGCTTTGATAAGTGGGTCATCAGCTACCTATACAGACAAAAAAAAAGAAAAGATGCAAAACTTTTTGTCAGTTCTAGTTTGTTGCCTAAGTAGGCTGGCACATAAGCTTATAGAATCCATCAGTTATGAGCGGAAGTTAGAAATTTGTTGTGTGCTGTAAGTTAAGCAGAGAGGAATGGCACAGAGAAAAGACGTCGCGTTACTTGAAGCGTCATGACCTTGAGCAAGTTTTTTTCTTCTTCACACATGCAGCCGACTTCAGAAAAGTATTCGGGACTACAGATATGAAAATACATGCACAATATGCCTAAACTACAGATACTATGATACAGTTGTCTGTGACGTAATGACATATTTTTAAGGGCTTTTGCAAAAAAGTGAAAAAGGTAACATTAATGTCTCACCACATTGAAACTTACAAGCCAAGCTCGAATCATTAACGAACACCACTTAATCAGAAAAAAGTATACATTCACTCTAGACAAAAACGTGCATTGCCGAGATGTTTTTTTGTGTTGACTGCACTCAAGCAACAGCAATTTCTCAAATGGGTTTGCCATTTAGACGACAGTTTGGCTGTAATACAAGACTTTCAAATGCGCTGCGTGAAAAAGTTAGGGGTGCGGCACCTGCCTTGAACAACCGAGACTTTTGTCGACAGAGTATTACACTACTAACACTGCCTGTCGCAGCGTTAGACACTTCACCACGTGGGCCATTCTATGTGCGTGAGAAACTCTTTGTCACATCACACTGTATTGGCAACCAGCAGTATGCCTTTGCTTATGGCGCAACACAAAAGTCTTCCTTTCCTTTCTTCAGACAGAAAACGTAGCGAGACACCTCTGTGCTGTGCAGTATCACTATATAATTGATAGACCATTAAAGTAGTCCACTACCCTGATACAAAAACATTTTACAATTAAATCTTGCTGCAGACATGCAAATACTCAAAAGATTCTATCGCAATACTTTTGTATCGTGATACTGCCCATCACTAGCGTCACTGTGATTGTGAATGCGCACGTGGGTATGTGGCGACCTCTCATGGAAGCCACAATAACTATTCAGCTAAGACTCGCTTAAATCAACCAGTGGCCATGAATTTGGGTATATGGCACAGTGACTACCAAATGTCAGTATATGGCATAATTTTCACAACGTTCAGTGAAAGGTTTGTAGCTCACTGAGAATTCTATTGTAAATTCCAGGCCATATGCTACACAACAATGTTTGGCCTCTCTGTGCTCATGAGCTCTGACTATAAATCAGCGGCGTTTGTGAAACGATGTTGAAGAAGTGTCGTAGGGTGCCCTTGATGACCTAAAAAGCTCGCAGGTCCAGCAGGTTTGCCCGAATCAGAGTGTCCCAGCGAGGCATTCTAATAACTCGCTCTCAATACAGATCAGAGAAACAAAGCGCTTTAAAAGCACAGATATTAGCAAGTGAAGATATAAGTTTGCTGCGACACTAGTACCTGCTGTGCCACCAACATTCAAAGCCATTTTCTTATTGACTAATTGCTGTAGCATGCCACACCCTGAAATCATCGCCGCTACCCCAGCATGCCACTGCCACTCACTCGTACAGTGTTCAACAGGCTTGATATACATTGTAAAAAGAAAAGGTGAATTGCAGTGTCTTTTTGCCTCATAACAATAGTCATCGGGGTTCACCTGCACTTTTTAAAATGCGAAGCATTTCTTAGCGAACTTCAGCGACTTTGAGCGTATCTATCTATCTAGCCCCTCACGTTTGGGTGCTCTCGTGGTCACCCCCTTAACTTGGCATGAACCAAAATTAGCATAGGAGGGTAAGATTGATTTATAAATATGATGCGCTGGTCAAGACATGAATAATATCGCAATCCTGTCGCGTACGTTGTCAAACACTTGCCGCCAGACAGTGACACATACCGACGGATGGGTATGTCCTGCTGGTATGTTGGTATGTGCCACAGGTGACTGACACTTAGTATTCACCCCGGAATGAGGAGAACACACATGGGAAATTTTAACGCCCATGTGTGTTTACCGACATTGGCAGTGTACACCCGACGAATGCAAAGAATTGATGTCAGGGTCCCAGCTGGAATCGAACCCAAGCATTCTGTGTGCAATGAAGCATTTTATCACAGAGCTACGCCAGGTCTCGTAACTACTTTTCAAATAGACACTAATCTTCGTGAAACGTCAATAGTGGTTGCAGTGCTGCCTACCCATTTTTATAAACATTACATATGTACTTCTTTGAAACAGCCGTCACGTCAGGTTAATGTGAAATGTGGTTAGTTGCCATGTGCTGAAGCTGATTTATGTAGCAGTGTCCAGGGCCAGCATCCTCGCAAGCATTAGAACTTCATATCAGCTTCTGGTGTTGCTAATACGCAAGTTCCAGTTGGCATCAATGCGCAAGTGCAAAGAAATGGTTATATGAACATCTGCAACTCTTCAACATACGTCTGTGCATGCAACAATTGTACATATATTTAGCGTCATTTTATGACGTGTCGCTCAATTAAGGAATTGCAACACGATCACCTTCCCTCTGCATGCTTTATAACGATTTCTAGGTACATGGGATCTGCCGAATTTTTTTTCTTAAGAACTCTGCACTCGCTGCCTTACAATCGAAAAGGCTATGTGACCGTGATACTGCACATGCCAATTGGTTCCTAGTTATGAAGCAATCGGTTCAGAACTATAATTGTTCACCAATTGAAGTTGTGAACTGAGGAAGCCTTAGCTAGACAGATGACAATTATTGCTGTGAGACGGACACCCTAAAGGCACCCCGTTTTCTAATTTACTGCAAATACAGTACCACCCTTTGGCGAGTTTTTATGACTGAGAAATCCGTCACCTAGATTGCTTGCATTTTTTCTGAAGCTCTCCAAGTTCAATACTTTCATAACAAGA